TCAACGCTAAATACAATTAGCAAAGAGATATAACCTAAGATAAGGATTGCATGAGTCTGGAAGTCAACTCCTGACTGGCTTCAGCTTTTCCCTTGGCTGCTCCAGCCATCTCCGAAAGACAATAAATGGAAGGTTCAACTCCTAAAATTAGAGGTCAATTAGATGCTTAACGATAAAACATATCTTCAAATATATATCTATTATTATTATGGTAGCAAAAAATTAATTAACCAGGTCAAGCAGGCCATGAAGGCTAATGTACAAAGTAATTATTTCTGATCTTCAGACAACTACTTCACATAAAAAGGTAGTCCTTTATTCTTCCCAGCAAATACCTGAAATGCCTACAGTTAATCATATTGAAGGAAACAAAAGGCAAGGTTTATCTTCTTAAAAGATGAGGGTACATCTTGAATGACTTTGTTCAATTGTTTAAGAACAGTCATTTCCTTGCTTATAATATTAGCATCTCTCTGGTTACTACACAGGAATTAAATGTTTCTACATATTTAATGGTGCTTTATCACATGGCAGACATACAAACACACAAAATATACCAAAAGCACACAAATATATTACAATCAATATAGAAAACACTATATGTGAAAAATATTCATATACTCTTAAGACAAAATGAAGCTCAACTGGTTTGGGGAGAAGTAAACAAGCAGTGTGTAGAATTTAAAAGAAAAATTTTTTTGTAAAGATAAAGAGTATCTGCAGGGCTGGGGTTGTGGCTCAGTGGCACAGCACTTGCCTTCCACGTGCGAGGCACTGGGTTCAATCCTCAACACCACATAAAATAAATAAAATAAATATATTGCATTTAAAAAAAAGAATATCTGCAAAGAAGCAGCAATGGCATTGGTTCAGGCTTTCAACAGATTGAATTTGCCATTCAATGTATTAGAAGATGAGGGAAGGACAGTGAATGTTGTATATTAATCATAGAGAAAACAGAGATAGCAATTTCAAGGCTCATCATAATACTCAAAAAGATGTATGTGTACAAAGTGACAAAAATCATTGGGCTGGCCCAGAAGACCAAATGCCCAAATGAAATCCCAACCATCAGTCCATTCTTAGGAGACTGGTGTTCACATGTGAGAAGAGGATACTGTCTGGATAACACAAAATGCAAGTTACTTGAATAACTCTAAAACTGGGGTCTGAAGAAACATGAATGATTGGATAATACCATTCATCCCTGAAAAAGTAGGTTTCTCAAAGAGATATTTTAATGAGCTGAATTCTTTTGAAAGACTAAGTTCTAGTTGTAAAATGCCATTGTTAAATGTAGTCCTATTGACATACTATAGAAACCAAAGAATGTGGTATATTGTGTCCGTGAAGAATATCTTCTCTAGATTCAAGCATGACATGGTCAAATCAAGTTAGATGAATAAATACATGCATTAATAAAGAAATCAGGATTTATAAAACATTGTTTTCCTTAAAATAGTCTATAATTTAATAGTTGATTAAAATACTATAAGTATGCTTCAATCTGTTTTTAACTATCTGATGGATTAAAAGTGAATTTTGTTTGCCAGTTAATATAACACATAAATAAAATGTTTTGAAATATTGGCAAGTTACTTTATACAATGGGCAGGAAAAGGAGAATAAAATTACTAAAGCAGATATCTGTTCTTTGGAATTATAACACAAAAAATGATATTCCTAACTTCAAGGATTCATATTCCTTGACCTATTATTTTGCTTTTCATAGACTTGATAAAAATTGTGCTATTTCTGTCCTGGAAATACAAAAAACAGCCTAACTTTTTGGGGCTCCACACCAGGAGAATTATTTAATATGGAACAAATTAGAGGAATTCCCATTTTCCCCAAAGCAAAAACAGGGATTTGAATTCACAAACTAAACAGCCTCCTAAAAGATCTGTTAATATTAAAATATTTTAATAGTAATTTAAATTATTATCATGATATTTTAAATGGAAAAAAAACTCATGAAAATAGTTCTCACAATCATTAATCATACTTGTTCAACACACCTTACATGGTCTTAGAAGTATCTCTTTAAAAGTTTAGAATTTATGTGGGCAAAATTACATTAAAAATTCATACTCAAGGGAGAAAAAATATGAATAAAATTATTTTCAACTACACATATAAGTTTTGTATGATTGCAAACAAAATAAGTATGGTGACTTTTACAATGCTACCTTAATTATGCTTTTTTTCTAATTCTAATGAAAAATACTGTTTTCAATATGTGTAAACCATTCAGGTTTTCATTTGTATCCATTGTAATAGAACATGATGTGTTTGTGTGCAGTTGTTACAAGAGACTAGACACTCTTTCCTTTCTTTCTATTAAAGCTTACAAATTGAAAAAAAAACAGTACTAATTTAGAAGTCAGCATTCTAAACCAGAAGAACAATCTTGAATGTTACCACCTGATACTCATGACCCATAACCAATTGCCATAGCTTATTCTTGCTGACCATGGTAGCTAATAGATTCTAGCACTCATGATTTTAAAAGAAAAAAAAAATATCAAACTTGCTTACATTTTTTTCTTCATTTGTTTTTAGAAGAGAAATTAAGTTTCATTTTTAATCATTTTGCTTTTTTTTCCCTGTTTTGTTTTCAGATTGGAGATGCTTCTTTCTTGGGGAAAAGAATGTTTGAAGCATTCCTTAACTTTCATATGTTGTTCAAAAACTACACTAAAATTAGCCCAACAATAATTCCCCTAAATTTGATCACATCTGTGACTTGTCAAAAACCATATTTGAAACTATAGTTAACTTATTCCACTTTCAAAAAATAAAATAACTAAACATCTAAATAGTAAAACCTGCTTTGTAAGTGTCAGAGATAAATAAGTTTGTATAAGGAGTGTTTTTCAGCATTTGAAAAATTCTTTGAATGGTCTCATACTGATAAGATAAATACTGACAAGATAAGTCATGAAGCAGTTGCTCAGAACAGAGTGAACTATAAATATAGTCTTATTGCTTCATCTTATTTTTTTTAAATATAAACTCTTGTTATAAAGAGTCCCATTTTCTAACATAAATGTAACTCTGACATTGACTATTCTATTAAAAAACTTCTATTAAAAAGCTTCTATTAAAAAACTTGAAAAAAAAATATTCCTGTTTTCTCAAATTGAACATTCAGATGAATATTTTAAGATCATATTCTGTAGTCTTCTGAAGAAGATATCAATTGCATGCAGTCAAGTTATAACTATAAAATTGTACATGATCAATAAATACTAATAATATTTTATAAAAATAATCTGAACTGGTTGCCATTCATCTGAGGTTCTCAGTATACCACAGGAAAACATCAATTAAGACAGCCAGTCAATACAAACAATACTAGACTAAGAAATAAAATATAGTAGAAATAAGTAAAGAAGTAATAAAGAGGGAGTAAAAACATTAATAATAATTAACTGATACAAGAATATCTCTGGAAACTTCTTCCATCCTGCTTTGCAAATAGAAGACACAGAGAACTAAATGATTATGTTATTTAACACCTACTGAGTTCTTAGGGAGGAATCTAGAGAAAAATGTAGGAAGCTACAGGCTAAAAATCTTGACCTTAACAGTAGGAAATACACTGAAATTTTTAATAAGGGTAGAAGAAGGGAACGCCTGGACAGTTATTTAATTAAGGATCTCAGCATGAGTCATAAAAGCGATATCAGGATGAGAAATTATTTCAGGATTTAATTGTAGAGACTGACCATCACAAATGACAAAGACATTCTATGTTGCCTTATTTGGACTCTTTATTTTGAAACACATAAATTTTAGTGTGGACTATAGAATCAGAGCACAAACAAACAAAAATTGACTAAAACCTACTAGTGAAGTTGGCTGGGCAAAAAGCCAAATTAGGTAAAAGTACTGAAGTAGACTTCAGTAACTACTACCTGGAACACTAAAAATGACTATTAACAAAATGAAGCAAAAATCTGAGTTAAAAATCACTGGTGTTCATCAATTAGGTAAAAGATTAAACTATGACTTTATGCTTTTGATTTTTTAAATTACAGCAAGGCATGATATTAACCTTAAGAAAAGAAATAATCTAATTCAGATTATGCTGGCCCAAATAGGTTAAATCACAGATTATTGTAGGTTAGAAAAATATACAGCAACAAAGAGAAAAAACAATCTGTGGTAAGTATAACTCTGGAATCAGTATTCCTGAGGATTAATCACCAAACAGTTCCTTGCTCTAGGACTTTTGAGAACGCACACAACTATTCCTACTCAGAAACAGAAACCACTTCTCTCACTTATCTCAGGTAGCTATTAGTTGAATTAATTAGTATGTAAAGGAATGACAGAAATCAGACCATCATCTTCCCTTCTCAGACTATTGTAATTGTGATCTAAGTAGTTTTACAGGGCCACAAGAAAAAGAAACTCTGTAAATTAAGTTATAAGTATTCAGGAACAAGTTTTTCTTCCTTTCTAGACTGTAAACTCCTCGAAGACAGACTATTATTCATTAACCTTTATTTTCCCTCAGCATCTAGAAGGAACACAGTTAATATTTGTTCAGGAACAAATAAATTATTAACAGTCTTTTCCCAGATTCTTCTCATAACTGGCCAAATCGATCCTAACAAGTAAATAAAAGTAAGCTTCTCTCCATGGTATTATTACATAATAAAACACAAAGGAGAAAATAATTTGTGACAATAAAAGTAGCATCTGTATGCTGCCTTGAAAACCAAGAAGATTTCCAGTTGGTTGTTTTTAGGCAAATGGCAGAAGAAGAAAAAGATAAGGTTTATTCTGCTTACACATCACATAAGAATGCTTTGACCACCACCTAGTCAATATTTTTTACATCCACTTACATAATTGTGTACTGCATCCTTGAATAACAACCCTATTGGTGCTGTTTATAAGGCAAGGGTGCATTTGCAGCATTTTAAATTCCATTTTCAAGGAGGAAAGTATGTAAGTATAATCAGACAAGAGTAATAAAATACACTGACCTGGATCTGTTGCTGCAGGAGATTAATTTTGTGCTGCTGTTGCAGAAGTTGTTGCTGTTGTCTTGCAATCTATCAGAAATAAAGTTTCATTAAGTTAAAATGAAATGCTTACACCTTTGCCATTACCTCAGGTATCTCTCCTGGAATTACAGGAATGCTTTACTGCACCTCTATGTGAAAGAATTCCTATAAAATGAGAGGCAGAATCAGAAAGTTGAAAAAAGAAACATTTTGGAACAGGTGCTATCTCTCTATCTATAGGTGAAAACCACCCCTTGTATTATATTTGTGAGCAATTCACCTATATCTGTACTGGTTAGTTTGATATCATGGGACTTTGGAAATTCCATCCTTATAAGGACAGGAAAACTCTGGCCACATTGTTCTAAAGAGTTTAATTTGGGTGTAAAAAGTAAAATCTGTAAGCAAAGACAAGAAAAAGCTTTCTATTACTGTATAATATCATCTACTTTGAAGAAACCTTTTATGATGGAAAGATCTTTAGCACTGATATGCTTAGAAATATTGTCAAATATTGCCATTGTAAAGAGTTAAAAAATGTTAGCTGTGTGCAGGGTGCATGCCTATAATCCCAGCAGCTTGGGAGGCTGAGGCAGGAGGCCCAAAAGTTCAAAGCCAGCCTCAGCAAAAGCGAGGTGCTGAACAACTCAGTGAGACTCTGTCTCTAAATAAAATTAAAAAAAAAAAAGGTCTGGGGATGTGGCTTAGTAATCAAGTGCCCCTAAGTTCAATCACTGGTACCTTCCCAAAAAAGAGTTTAAAAATGTTTAGTTTTTCTGTTGATGTTATATGTATCTGCAAAGCATTTGAAACAGCTGTAATTTAACATTTATCCACTTATTCTTTCCAGGGGACTATGCTTATTTTACAGTAAAGGATCCACATATAGGTTTTACATTCTTTTTGCCTCACCCAACAATCTAATTCAACATCTTAACATATTATCTGCTCTAACAAACAAATATTAACCATTTAATGCAAGCCCTGTAAGAAGAAAGAATCTGCCCCTCAGGAGGGCAAACAAGGTCCTTAGCATAATGGTGTTTACTACGAAGCATGAGTTAGGCATCAGGCTGCTTATTGCCTCTGAAATGGAGCTGCTACAGTTTGAAGTCCAGGGAGATGCTCCTTATTTGGAACATACTCACTGCTAACCAAAGCCAGAGAGAAAAGTGGCCAAAGAACACTTATTGAAGAATTTGGTTTAGTGGAGCCTGGTAGGCAAGTGCTAAAGTCTTGTCTTTTCATTTCTTCTTATTCCAAAAGCCAGTGTTCTAGAATAAGATATGCTGGAAGTGAAGATGTAAATCAGTCCCAGGCCCCAGCTATATTCTTCCGGAACTTTTTTGACTCTCTAACCTAATGCAGGGGGAATGCCCCAAACACATCTCATTCAGTGTAAAATGACACAATATAGCAGTCTGCTCCCAGATGTTGTTTTCTGATTTCTGGCAATAACTGGCTCATACTGGAATGTGTGGAAAAGCTACTCCTGACATAGACTTCAGTTTGAGAAATGGAGCTACTCCTTACCAAAGCTTTATAGACAAAATGGAAACAGTATTTAATCAGGTTGGAACAGCCCACTCTGCTTGTCACTACTCAAATCAGAAATGGACAACTCACTCTGCAGCTCCAGGTATAGATGCTGGATCCTTTGAATATTTATTTCTTCTTAGCAAACTAGTGAAACACCACTAGGCATCTAATATTGATGGCCCCTCCTAAATGATAAAGTGCTGCATAGAAATGCATCCAAAACACCACAGTGCAATTACTATCATCCACTCTAGACGTATGGGTTTGACACAGTGAAGTATGGTACATAAGCACCATGTGGCTCAAATTCTGAATTTTATTTGCCAATCGGTTGAGCTACATGCTCGCTTCATTGAGCATGACAACCTAGTTTTAAGTGTCATTTAATTTTCATTTTGAAATATAATTACAAAGTGTTCACTGTAAGATATCACTCGTCTGCAAATGTGTCAAGATTAATTTGTGCTAGCTTATTCACAAGTGTCAATAGTTAATTACTGTGTCATCTCTGGATGGCTAAATGACATTCTAACTTCTGATTTTTTACAGTGTTCCTTTATGTTATTTTCCATTAGGGGCTGAGTCCATATTCCTACATGTGGGCAAATATTCAAGCATATAAAATACCAGACGTCACAACTCATTAAAATCAACAGAGCATATATTGCTCTATATACCCCTATAAAATACATTTAACTGAAAAGATAATTCCAGTAATAATGTCAGATTCCTAAAAACTGCACATTAATTTGGGTCTGTATGATCTAAAGCATCAGGGACTACTCTATAGGATCATTGTTGTTAGCTTAATGTACTCTATGAGACAAGAAAAACATTTGGGAAAGTGATTTATTTTTTAAAAGATATACATTTAAACTTTGCTATTTTTTTCTTTGCTTTTATTTCTAAGTCAATCAAGTTGAATTCTTTTAGGAACCATGTGCTAATTTGTTTTTAATGATTTACCTATGCTATAAATAGTGGCCATGTGATTTATTATCCAAACAAAGATAACTTTAGTGAAAAGGGGTAGGGCATTAATAACTATCCTGGAAAACAAGCATAAACCAGGGATATTTGGAGCAAACCATGATATATGTTCACACTAGCTTCAAAGCCAGAGAAAAATCATTGGATCAGTGAGCCAAAAGATCCTCAAAGTTTTTCTAGAACGGAAGTCCCTTTTACTGGCTAAAAGTAAAGCCCAGAGAAGTCACTTACCTACAATTTAACTACATTGGGATTACCTGCCATGCCTATAAGAAAGAGTATGTCTGAGTAATTAGTCAAATCCAAACCTTCTGAAACAGTATATTATCTAAGTTAGTTAGCCCTGTTGCTATGATGCCTTTCTTTATTCTCCACAAATCTCCTCAGTTTTCCTGAAGATTGTAGACTTCCAGAAGGCTTCCTTTTTACCTTCCTCTTTCCTTTTTAATTTTTTTTTTTTTTTTTTTACTCTTTGAAGAAAGCTTACAATAAATAAAGCAATCAATGTGACTACTCTCTGAGCTTGGCACATTCCAAATCCCTAGTTCGGCAGCTCCTTTTGCAGGGCTCACCTGTTCTTGCTGCTGGCGAGCAAGGTCCATTTGCTGCCGTTGTTTCTCAATTTGCGAGGCTGCCAGTTTTTTCTGTTCATCATGCGCTGCCAGGAGCTGCTCCCGTAAACTGATCAGCTGGGTAATCATGGTGGAGAGCTGCCTTTCTTTTTCTGCCAGGCTCTCAGGTGTACCTAAAATGGAAGTGAGAAGAGATCTTCACAAGCTTGAGGAATATCTGAAGGAATCAGGGAAAAAGGCAGATTTTAGAAAGGGACTCCCTTAGACACTTGAAGATCTAGGACAATGACTATAAACTATTGTGAGCTCAGGAATGCCACAGGGTAATTATAGCAATGGAATGAATGCTGGGTTCATCATTGTCCCTGCCAAGAAAAACTACTGTCACCATAAAATTCTAATGTAATCTTCCCCTCTACCTCTAAAAACAAAAGTAAAGCATAAATATCTACCATATTCTCTCCTTTCTACCACACTACCCTCAATCTATCTGACCAAGCTAGGAAACCTATAAATTCATCACCAAAGGTCTGCAACTATGAATTATATTAGCATTCCATAATCACTTCTATCCTTAGCAACTAACACAGTATCAATAGCTAAGACATTGGAGGTGCTTAACAAATGTTTTTAAGGAATTTTATGGTCATTGCCCTCAATTTTTCTCTATTGTTCAAAGACGTGTCTGAAGTTCAGAAGTCAGGGGTCAATCTCTTGATCATGGAGTGAGTTCTACTGAGAATAAAAACTGCCTCAGGTAAGAAGGGATTGAATGTGATTTTTTTTTTCCCTACGAAGGGATCAAGCTAAAGTCCCCAAGTTCATTCTTAAAGACCACAATGTTGCTTGGGGGGCTCTCTCACCCCTTTGCCATTCATCATTCTTCAAAAAAAAAAAACCACATTTCGAGGTTGAAAAGGTTATGCATAAGGATATACTGTTTAATGAATATGATGTTGCTGAACACTTATGGTATGCACTAATGGTGCTGAACAGTCTTTTTATAGACAAATTGCACAGCTCTCCTAAGTAAAGGGTACAGAATCCTTTTGTGAATCTAAATTAGAGCATTTTACTGCAGCATAAGATAAGAATTTCAACCTACTGTATTTGAGCCACACAGGTTTCATTATGAAGAAATGATCTATGATTTGAAAGCTTTTCAGAAAGATGCCACTAGCTGTCAAAGGGGACAAAGATTGCCAATTTTTGTATATGTGGAAGGAAGACTTCCAACCTCTTTATGAAACCCTCCTTATTCCTGTTAAGAAAGCAGCAGAACAGTCTGAGAAGCTAAAAATATTTTAATTATGAATGGCCCCAAGGAGAAAACTTATCTTCAGAGGATGTTGGCTAGCATTTGGCTAGTGCATGTTTCCCACAAAATAAGGATGATCTTGGCAAAGAAGCTACCTTGGGATTATTAATGTCAACCCAGGTCCTTAAAATAAAAGAGCTATCTATATCCTTTTATAAAACCACTGAGATAAAAGAGTACCTAAAATCAAAATTCAAAGAAAAGAAAAATAGCAAGAAGTTAGAAAGCATATTCCCCTGAAAAGGAAAGAAATACTGTAACAAGGCTGGTAACCAGATATTCTTTCTAGCTCCAGAATTGACTAAAATGTGTTTTTACTACACCAATAGGTAAAAGGAAAACTTCTTGATCCAGAATCATTAAATCACAAAAATGTAAAAGCAGTTTCCCTAAGGAGATTATAAAATCTCTTCAAAACCATTGAGAAGCTCACTAATGTACATGTCAATGTATACAGGAACAAGAAGATACAAGACAAAAAATGTATTTGTTTACTTATTTCATTAATTTTTAATTCTATAATATATCCTGAATGGTAACTGTGGGTCAGGTACTATAATATCAAGTAACCATAGGTATAAAAGTACACTACAATTAAAATAAGAATTAAAGACAAGACAAATATTTTGGAGGAGCTTTAACCAAGTTTGGAAGGCCCAATTTCAAGGAAGGTAACCTGAAAAAGTAATAAAGAGGAGAATGAATAGGAGTTAGCTAGGCAAAGAGTTGGAGAGTGGCTTGATTGAGGAGCTTTCTAGAAAATATGAACATTGCTGTGGTAAAGGAATTACAACCGAAAAAAAGGATTATTGGAGGGTGGCTGGTGGTCAAGGAACTTTCCAGGAGGAGCAAACAATATAGGCAGAGGACCTCTGTGTATGTTGGGGGCGGGGATGTGTGGGGTTTTGAATTCTAATAATTTAAAACAGCTAAAGTATTTTAAGCAAGAGTAATGTGGTCATTCTGGCTGTGATGTGGTGGGGGTGATTGAAAAGTTATGAGGTAAATGGAATATGGGCACTTTTTATTACATATATTTTGTGCAGTATTCTAATCTACATTTAATTTTCTTGTTATACCTATCAATATAAGGTGGGTTAAGAGAAGGCTTATTAGATACTAGGGTAGTTTCTATACTTTATTGCCCTATTAATAAAGAGCTTCCACTGGACATTTGGGAAAGGGTCAATACAAGAATTGAATATGATATTTAGATTTCCCAGTAAAGATTGGATAATTTTCTCTTCTCCTACCTGAACATGGGAGAATAACGTCTTTTCAATTATCTTTGATTTATTGCCCTTCCTCCTCTACATGGGAAACACAGAAGCTAAGGATAATATAGAAATGACTTC